TTTTTTTTTTTTTTTTTTTTTTTTTTTAGCTGTCCTGTGTTCTGTAACTAGCTCTTGTCCAGGCTGGCCTTGAACACACAGAGACCTGCCTGCCTCTGCCTCCCAAGTGCTGGGATTAAAGGCATGTGCCACCACTGCCCAGCGAGAACAGCAAACTCTTAACCAGAGCCATCACTCCAGCCAGTAAATTAATGTTTAGTTTTACACCTTATTTTTGATTTTATGAGCAGGTTTGTTTGCTGAATTATCCTGTTTCAAGTTTCAAGGTTTGAGTCACAGCCACGACCTTGAACATGTGACTATTTTGAGTCTTGAGCTTCCTTTCTATGTAACAAACAATAAAAAACATCTTTTTCTATCTGGGACTTGGTGGAGTATGTTTGTGAAGACAGGATGACCACAGGTTCAGGGCCAGCCTGGGCTTACCTTGAATTTTGGGACAATTAGTGGGCTATGGAGTGAGACTCTATTGCAAATAAATAATAACAGAAAGAAAAAAATCATATCTTTTTAAAATTATTTATTTATTATGTGTATGGCTACATATATGCTTACACACCAGAAGAGAGCACCAGATCTCATTATAGATGGTTGTGAGCCACCATGCGGTTGCTGGGAATTGAACCTGGGTCCATCTGGAAGAGTAGCCAGTGCCCTTAACCTCTAAGCCATCTCTCCATTTCCGTCTTAACAGGAATAATCTTTTCCTGTCTTGTCAGAATCAATGTGCTGTCTAGGAAGAACTCTGAAAGTTCTATTTTGATGTTGTGTGAGTTGGTCACTTTAATTGTATCAGTTTTTGTGCTGTACTTTTAGATTCTGGTCGTTTAGTCTTTAGTCTTTACACCTCACTAGCAGACAAGATTTGAGGAGTAGTAGAGATTCCAGGGAGAAACTGAATTTGTGTTCAGGGTGAACAGGATAGAGAATGTGGGCTCTAGATCCTATTTACTGGGCAGTGAGATGGCTCCACGTGTAAAGGCGCCTGGCACCAAGCCTGATGACCTCAGTTAGAGCCACTGTCTCCTCGAGTTGTCTTCTGATCTTCACACACAAGTATGTGCTCATACAAAAATAAAATGTAGTAAAATTTAGAAAGAAAGAAAGAAAGATCCTTTTAGTTCTCATTAAATAAATCCCACCTCAGTATGTTGGTGAGAAGAGAATGAGGTTCACATTGTCACACTGTTGCCATGGAGAAACGTGAAACGTGGGGGACTGTTTTTCTCAACCCAGTCTGAACTATTTCAAAGTAGCAGCTAGATTGGTTTGGATACTGTTTAGACCTTTGTGGTGGTAACTGAGAGAGATTTCATATGAAGACATGATCTCTACCTTTTTAGGATAGTATACCCTAATGGGAGTCTTGATAGAGTCTTATGTCTCAACAGAGGAACTCCAAAACGTTGCCTTGATCTTTCGAATCTTAGCAATGGAGAGCTGTCTGCTTCTCAGCTTACTGCTTCTGCTGACTTTGATGAAACCGGTAGGGGACAGTCTTCAAAGAGAAAACTAACTTTAAAATTTTTATCTTTATTTAATTTTTATGTGTATAAATGCTTTTCGCGTGCATGTATGATGTGTACCACATGCATGCCTGGTACCCTCAGGAGCCGGAAGAAGAGTTGTGAGTTGGATCCCCTGGAACTGGGATTTCTGACTGTGATGAGCTACTGTGTAGATGCTAGGAAATGAACCTGGGTCCTTTGGAAGAGCAGCAAGTGCTCTCAACTGCTAACAGCGCTTGTGCTGGAGAGGTGGCTCAGCCTTTGAAGGCTAAGGCTTGGCTTGGCAGTGGTGGCGCACACCTTTAATCCCAGCACTCGGGAGGCAGAGGCAGGCGGATCTTTGTGAGTTTGAGGCCAGCCTGATCTGAAAGAGCTGGTTTCTGGACAGGCTCCAAAGCTACAGAGAAACCCTGTCTCGAAAAACAGACAAACAAAAAAGGCTAAGGCTTATTATAACTTTTTCGAGAGAACACAGGGTAATAGCATAGAAATGGAGGATGGTGAAAATGGATAAAGAACCTATGTAAAACCAGGTATATTAGTTTATGTAAACCCAAAACTTGGAAGGTTGAGACCAGCCAGCGCTACCACATACCAAAGCCCTGAGAGAGAACATTTGCCTAAAAGTAGAAAGTTTGAGGTTAGATAATTTTTAGTTGAATGATAAATGGAAAGAGAAAATAACAGTAATAGAAGTTGCTTTGCATTAGAAAAGTTTTTTCAAGAAGTAATTTATTTTGTTGACTGATTAATGGTGCAGATGCAAGTGCAGTAAATTTTTTTAATCCCAATTTAATCTCACTAGAAACAAAGAAATTGGCATAAAAATACTTTGTTCTACAAGACCCTTCATTCAGTCCTCAGTACCCTCCAAACTCAAAAGATATACTTTATCAACTAATTGGTGTGTCTGTATGTTTCTGGGTCTAAACCAAAAAATTTTGCTAGTATACCATTCTAATGTTTGCTGTAATTTCAGATTTCCTGAATAGCCACTTTCTTTCCTGTTTGCTTTCTTGGCAAGGGGAGAAGGTGGAGGTTTGAGACTGTCTCATGTAGCGCAGGCTGGCCTCAAACTTACTCCGTAGCCATTGCACTTCTGATCTTTACCTCCCAGGTTCTGGAATTGCAGGCATATTTGTGTTTCCTTCTGAAGCCTATGATGTTTTGCCTGCATGTACAGTGAATGTGTGCCTGGAGCTGAGAATGGTTGTGGAGCACTGTGTGGGTGTTGAGAACCAAACCTGGGTCTTCTGCAAAAGCGGCAAGTGTTCTTAACCTCTAAGCCATCTCTCTAGCCCAGTTAATGGTTTTTTTTCCAATTATTTATTATTAGTGCGTGTTTGTGTGGTGGGCGTGGGGGTAACAGACTATGAGATAACGGATGTATGCCACCATGTTTTCATACAGTGCTGAGGATTGAACTTTGTGCATGCTAAGCAAACACTCTACCAAGTAAGCTGCATGCCCAGCCCATTATTCTCCATAACTGATTGCAGGTTCCTTGGATTCCTCAGGACCTCAGGATGCACAGTTAACCGCGAAGTAAGTTCTGCTGTTGAAAATGGTCTGCACGCCCTCACTGCTCACAGGGAAGTCCTGTGTGGACTCTGCAGACGGCGAAGTTCTTCCCTTGGGGTATTTGTGGGCTTGGAGGACTTAGATTCTGGCTTGACAGCTTTTAAGTTTTCTGGTTCTAAATTGTGTTGTGAAATGCAGACTATTTTAAACCAGCACACACAGAAATAATCTTGTTTTTACATAAAGGGAATGGTATACTGCTCGCACTCTGGAGCTTCTCTGCACGTGTGAGGTGCTGTATTTCAGTGACTCGGGATGCAGGGTCAGGAACAAGATTGTCTGGATCCTGGTGACTTACTACTTCATCAGCTGTGACCCACAGTTTCTTAATTCATTGGATCAAACTTTCTTTATTCATAATAGATAACAGTAGCACTTTTTTTTCTTTTGATTTTTCGAGACAGGATTTCTATGTAGCTTTGGAGCCTGTCCTGGAACTCACTCTGTAGACCAGGCTGACCTCAAACTCACAAAGATCTGTCCTCCTTTGCCTCCCAAGTGCTGGGATTGAAGGTGTGTATCACCACTGCCTGGGAATAGTAGCACGTTTTAAAAACAGCTATTGAAAAGATTAATTAAAAATGAGAAGGCTGGGCCACTTGAGACACTGTCTTAAAGGAAACAAAACACCATCCATCCGTCCCAAATGTTAAAAACAAATGCTTATCAGAGCCAGGTGATATGGTTTACATTCTAATTCCAAAACTCCAGTGGTCGAGGCAGGACAGCCTTACCTATGTAACAAGTCTGAGGCTAGCCTGGGCTTTGTAAGACACTATTTTAACACCATCTCCCATCTCTACTCCCTCCCCCCAAACACAGAAGAACGAAGCAAAACGTATATATAGCAAATACCAAGCAGTTTGTGTTTGTTGTTATAACTATGATGAAGTATCTCTTGGAGATCCTAAAATATTTAGCTAGGAGGTGTACACGGAATAAAAACTGACTTCGGTTAAACTCAAAACTTATTCTTTTTTTTTTTTTTTTTTTTGGTTTTTCGAGACAGGGTTTATTTATTATGTATACAATATTCTGTCTGTGTGTATGTCTGCAGGCCAGAAGAGGGCACCAGACCTCATTATAGATGGTTGTGAGCCACCATGTGGTGGCCAGGAATTGAACTCAGGACCTTTGGAAGAGCAGGCAATGCTCTTAACCACTGAGCCATCTCTCCAGCCCCCTCAAAACTTATTCTAGACAGTGGTGGTGCACGCTTTTAACTCCAGCACTTGGGAGGGGAGGCAGAGGCGGCAGATCTCTGAGGTCAAGGCCAGCCTGGTCTACAGAGCAAGTTCTAGGACAGCCAGGACTGTTACACAGAGAAACCTGAGTTTCTTTTGTTTCTTTTTTATTTATTTTTTTATTAACTGGTCAGTTTTATTCCCAGAGGCGTGGAAGGCGTGTGCACACACCCACACCCACCCTCAATGAGTACTGTAAAGCATTCCCAGTGTCACTCTGGCACTCCATGCTCTGGAAAATAAAAATAAGTGTTTATGTGGCAGACTGTAAAGTCCCCTACAGGATTCCTTTTTTTTGTTTTGTTTAATCTTTTTTTTTTTAATTGACCTCTACATTTTTCTCTGCTCCTCTTTCTGCCTCTCCCCTCCTCTTCAACCCTTCCCCAAGGTCCCCATGCTCCCAGTTTACTCAGGAGATCTTGTCTTTTTCTACTTTCCATGTAGATTAGATCTATGTATGTCTCTCTTAGTGTCCTTATTGTTGTCTAAGTTCTCTGGGATTGTGAGTTGTAGGCTGATTTTCTTTGCTTTATGTTTAAAAACCACTTATGAGTGAGTACATGTGATAATTGTCTTTCTGGGTCTTGGTTACCTCACTCAAAATGATGTTTTCTAGCTCCATCTATTTGCGTGTAAATTTCAAGCTGTAGTTATTTTTTTCTGCTGTGTAGTACTCCATTGTGTAAATGTATGGCATTTTCCTTATCCATTCTTCAGTCGAGGGGCATTCAGGTTGGTTCCAGGTTCTGGCTATGACAAACAAAGCGGCTGTGAACATAGTTGAGCACATGTCCTTGTGGCACGATTGAGCATCCTTTGGATATATACCCAAAAGTGGTATTACTGGGTCTTGAGGAAGGCTGGAGAAACCCTGTTTTAAAAAACTAAAACCAGCTGAGCGGTGGTGGCACACGCCTTTAATCCCAGCACTTGGGAGGCAGAGGCAGGCAGATCTCTGTGAGTTCGAGACCAGCCTGGTCTACAAGAGCTAGTTCCAGGACAGGCTCCAACACCACAGAGAAACCCTGTCTCGAAAAACAAACAAACAAAAAACCTAAAGCCATAACAAAAAATCAAAGCTTATTCTAAATTGACTGTTTTACTCTTCTTAGCTTCTCCTTAGATATTGTCTAAGTAGATACTGTGTAATCGTACTGGGAAAAGCTTTCTATGGCAGCTTTTATGAGTACATGTGAAAATTTTACTTGTATTCATTGTTGTCTTTGAACTGATTTTTCTGTCTTTTCTTCTCCTCTTTTTTTTTTTTTCTTCTTCTTTAAGACAGGATTTCTCTGTGTAGCCCTGGCTGGTCCTGATACTCTGTAGATCAGGCTCCAGAGTGCTGGGATTAAAGGCTTGTGACCACCACCTGGATTGATTTTGTTTTTTTCCTCTTTCAATACTTTTTTCTTGGAGGCTGGGTCTCATTGTCGTGCAGTATGACCTGACTGCTGGCTCCACAGTGACGGGCCACCGCCTGGCTTTGGGTTGTTGTAAATAGCCCATGCTTGTCGACTAGGTGGGTTGTGGGAGAGAAGATTGAAACTCAGCTCTGAAGAGCCTCCTGTCGCCAGTGTGGGAACAGGAGTGGCAGGTATTGTCTGGTAGTCGCTGGCTCACCCAAGGCCCCAGGGGTACATCCTAGCATCAGAGCAGACTTTCTTGTGCACGTGTTTATCTCATCCAGGTCAGGCATGCTGGTGAACTGAGGGCCTTTTCCCCAGGACGCCACTGAGTCTTGATATTTAATACCCTGCGTATTGTTGGAAGAGACAAATAAACACTAGGACTCCTTGAACAGAAGAAAGGAAAAGCCAGGTGCCCCTAACCACCGAAGAACCAAACTGTGTTTGGGGATTACCTGACTAGTGGTCTGTTTTTGTTTTAATCTTCAGGAATCATCACCAGGACCTTATGAAAGGCATCCCAGTAGGTAGACCGGCCTGCCCACCCACCCTCCTACCTCCGCCTCTTCCTTTGAATAGGGGTCTCACTATGCTTGGCTAGCTGGGCTGGAGTTGAGCGCTGACACTTCAGGCATGCATCACCATGCCCAGCCTAGACTCTCCCTTGGTTTGACTGTGGCTTTATTTCTCTGGTGGGAAGCAGAGGGGTCCCAGCTGGTGGTGTGGCTTACGGAGATTGGATGTTTTCAGTAGACACCGTCTTTTAGGTGCAGCTTCTGTGTAGTACTCCAAATGCTTTGGACCATGGCCACAGAAAAAAAGATGCAATGCGTGACCTATCTGCAAATAAAGAAAATGTGAGTATTTAGTAGAAACCTTGCTATATTAATTTTATTTTTTTAAATGAACAACTGCTTGATGTCATGAAACCTAGGCTCAATATGCTAGACAAGTGAATTCCATCACTGTACAACAAAAATAACCTCTTGTTTTTCTACCTAATGTTTAACCTTAGGACAAACATCTAGCTCTATAGCAAGTTATCAGTTCTCTCCAGTTCATCAGTTTAAGTATACAGATTGCCATTACTATCATGTAAATGATTGTTTTGAAATGGTCATGTTGTGTTTGTAGGTGTAGGCACGTGTAGTACGCACCTATATGCAAATATACCTTCCCAAGCAAACTTTCTTCTCTATCCTCTTGCTTATCATGATAAAATTTGTATTCTCCAAAGCAAATCTGAGTATCAGACATGAAGTCCAAAGTATTATATATCTTCCCATACGCATTTGATGTTTGTGTGTATGTGTTTATGAGATGTGATTCTTTTGGCAGACACTACTTCTCTTCCTCCAGCCAATGCAGTTTTTCTTACGCAGATAAACACCAATCTGAAGACACTGGAGTGGGAGGCACCTAGGACCCCGAGGTTTCGAAAACTGCCTGGAGAGCCCCTGGCTTCTCCCCTTCCTGTGCTGGTGAGTTGTTGGATATGTTGACGACTGGAGTATCATGGACCAGAGAGTAAGCTGTGGACTTCTGGCCTGTGGACTTTTTCTGAGCTGCTTTAGGTGATAAAAGGGTGCGGGAGTAAATCCAATCTCTGTCTTTTTAGGTGTTTAAACTATGGAGTGAGAATTTTTCTTAGGCCTTTGGTTCCTTCTTTTCTCTTCCTTTCTTTCTGGGTTTTTGAAACAAGGTCTCACTCTAGTTCAAGCTAGCCTGGAAGTCGCTGTGTAGTTCAGGCTGTCCTAACCCACAACAACCCTGCTATCTCTGTCTAGTGCTAGGATAACAACCCTGCGCCAGGATGCATGTTGCCTAGTTTCTTTATTCTTTTTTGAAGTGAGGTTCCACTGCTCAGGCTAGCCTTGAATGCCTGTTCTCTGTCCTCCTCTTTGGTCTTTTGAGTCCTGATGTTATAGGTTTCTGCCCCTACAGGTCGCTTCTAAGAGTTGCACACTTTTAATTCTTACGTTTATATCGTTAGTATATTTTGAGTCAGTCTTCGTACAAGATGCAAGTGTTCTGGTTTTGTTTTGTTTTTCCGGTTTTTCAAGACAGGGTTTCTCTGTAGCTTTGAAACTAACTCTTGTAGACCAGGCTGTCCTTGAACTCACAGAGATCTGCCTGCCTCTGACTCCCAAGCAATGGAATTAAAGGTGTGCGCCACTACCCCTGTCCCCCGACTGATACAAGTGTTCTGAATAAAGTCAGGGTTTCTTGTTTGATATTTTTCATTTTTTGTCCTTCATTGAGACAGGATTTGAATATGTAGCCCAGGCTTGCCTTGGCCTGCTCTTCCTTTTGCACCATCCTCTTGATTAGTGGGATCATGGACATGTGCTTTCACACTCAGCCCTAACTAGGTTTTAATCTCGTCAATATACTTGATAGGAAAATAGAATCATGGTGGAAAATGAAATGAGGTATCTGGGCAGTCCCATTACTACAGTTCCAAAACGGAGTCAAAATCTAAAGTTAGAAGACCAAGAAGGGATTTCAGAAGAGCCAATGGAGTTTTCCCTGGAAGACCAAGGCACCAAGGTACGGTGTTCTGTTATTTTTAATTTTTCATCCTTTCTTTTCCATTTCATTTTTTATGTGCATGTGTCTGTACGTTTGTGTGTATGTGCATGCCATATGTGTGGTGGTCAGAGGGCAACTTGTGACAGTCAGTTCTCTCTTATCATCCAGGTATCAATCTCAGATCAGCAGGCTTCACGAGCTGAGTCATCCCAGCGGCCCTTGGTTTCTGCTATTGTTTTTTTTTTTTTTTTCTGTTTTTGGTTGTTTTTTTTTTTCTTTTAGTTTTTTGAGACAAGGTTTCTCTGTGTAATAGCCCTAGCTGCCCTGGAACACACTCTGTAGACCAGGCTTGCCTTGAACTCACAGAGATCCACCTGCCTCTGCCTCCCGAGTGCTGGGATTAAAGGCGTGTGCCACCACTGCCCTACTGTCTTTGTTTTTTAAAAACAGGGTCTCAGGATGTAGTCCGGGTTGCTGACATTGCTGTTCAGAGCAGCTTTGAAGGGCACACTCCTGTCTTAACCCCCGGGATACTAAGACTACAGGTGTGCGATCTTTTTTTTTTTTTTTTAAAGATTTATTTATTTATTATGTATACAACATTCCTTCCATGTATGTTTGTATGCCAGAAGAGGGCACCAGATCTCATTACAGATGGTTGTGAACCACCATGTGGTTGCTGGGAATTGAACTCAGGACCTTTGGAGGAGCAGGCAATGCTCTTAACCTCTGAGCCATCTCTCCAGCCCCCCAGGTGTGCGATCTTGTGCTGCCTTTCCAGATTGTCCATTTCAGTTTGTTTATTTGTTTGTTTTTGACAGTGTCTAACTTTGAGGCCCAGGCTGTCCTAGAACTTACTTGTATCCAAAACCGGTCTGGAATTCACTGTATAGCCCAGGTTGTCTTGGAACTCCTTAATCCTCCTGCCTCAGTCTCCTAAGTGCTAGAATTACAGGTATGAGCTTCTACATTTGTTCCTAAGTAAACAATAGTCTATACCTATTGTACAGGGCTGTGAAAACAAAACAAAAAGCCAGGATCTTAATCACGATACATGCCTATAATTTCACTGCTTGGTAAATAGAAGCAGGAAGGTATGTGAAAAGCCAGCCTTGATTACATAGTGAGGCCTGGTCTCAAAGGGGTAGTGGACTAGAAAGATGGCTCAGCAGTTAAGAGCCCTGGCTGCTCTTTCAGAAGACCAGGGTTTAAGTTTAAAATTTTATTTTAATTAAAAAAGAAAGGAAGGAAGGAAGGAAGGAAGGAAGGAAGGAAGGAAGGAAGAAAGAAAGAAAGAAAGAAAGAAAGAAAGAAAGAAAGAAAGAAAGAAAGAAAGAAATCTTTAGACTCGAAGAATCACTTGGCGGATAGAGTCTTGTCACCATGGAGATCATCCTATTACTGGATGAGAAATTTTAGGCAGTAATTTGAGGCATCAGCAGAAGTGATGGCTGGAATAACCAGGCAGGATCTTGCAAGTGTTTTATGGTGTACTTCCCACACCACTAGGAGATAATTTGAAACTGCTTGTGCCTTGTAGGTGTGTGATGACATTCCAGAGATAGTTTCTGAGGTGTATAGCACTTCTGAATCAGCTTCATTGATTTGAACTAATGCGGGCAAAGATGTTTGAAAATCCACTCCTGTAAGTGGAGTAACTGTCTGGAGGGATAAGCTGACTAATGGAAGTGGATGGACACAAAAGGGCAGGATGGGGGGGGCAGGAATAGTGCATTCAACATACAATGCACCCTTGTACTGAAACTTTATAAAGTTAAAGATAAATGATTTGCCAGGCTTGGTGGCTCATGCTTATAATTCTCGCACTTGGTGCGCTGAGACAGGAAGGTTTCCTCAAGCTCGAAGTTGGCCAGGGTAGCAGAGGGATACCCTGTTTCCACTAGCTAAGTTTAGTGAGTTCACAAGGCAGATGTGGTCCATGGGTTTCAGTTCCTGATCTCTTACTAGTGTTAGGCCATCTACTGCTAGCCTCAGTTTTTCCTTATAAATGGGAGAGCAGGGCTGGGCAGAAGGCTCAGTTTATAAAGTCCCAGAACCCATGTAAATGCTGGGTGGTTCCACCTGGAATCCAGCTCTAGAAAGGGGAAGACAGCAGACGGAGATTGGGGTCAGCGGGCTAGTAGAGCAGCCTCACCAGCCAGCTCTCCGTTCAGTTGACAGACTGCCTCCGTGAATGAGGAGAGCCATTGAGGAAGACTATCGGCATCCACCTAGGGCCTCCACACGCATTCACAGACATGTGCACACATGCACGTGGGTTACACGAATACGTATGTCAAATGGAGAACGTAATAACTTCCACAGAATTCCTGTCCGTATGATAAAGTATTAAGAGCAATTTGTGTAATTCCAGCACTCAGGAAGCTGAGGCAAGAGAAGTCCAAGTTCAAGGCCAGCCTGTCTCAATCTCTGCTTCTCCCTAAAATAAAGCATAAAGCGTGTGTGTTTTTTTTTTTTTTTTTTTTTTTTTTTTTTTTTTTTTTTTTGAGACAGGGTTTCTCTGTGGTTTTGGAGCCTGTCGGGGAAACTAGCTCTGTAGACCAGGCTGGTCTCGAACTCACAGAGATCCACCTGCCTCTGCCTCCCAGTTGCTGGAATTAAAGGCGTGCACCACCACTGCCTGACTAGAGAAGACTGTGGAGTTGGTTCTCCCTTCCACATTTATATGGGTTCTGGGAATTGAACTCAGGCTGCCAGGTGCCAGCAAGTACCTTACTTACTGTGTCATCTTGCCAGCCCTGTTCTTTACATCTTTTTAAAAAAAATTTATTGATTTTTATTGAGCTCTACATTTTTCTCTGCTCCCTTCCCTTTCTCTCCCCTCCCCTTCAACCCTCTCCTAAGGTCCCCATGCTCCCAATTTACTCAGGTGATCTTGTCTTTTTCTACTTCCCATGTAGATTAGATCTATGTATGTCTCTCTTAGGGTCCCCATTGATGTCTAGGTTCTCTGGGATTGTGAGTTGTAGGCTGATTTTCTTTGCTTTATGTTTAAAAACCACTTATGAGTGAGTACATACGATAATTGTCTTTCTGGGTCTGGGTTACCTCACTCAAAATGATGTTTTCTAAATCCATCCATTTGCCTGCAAATTTCAAGCTGCTGTTGTTATTTTTTCTGCTTTGTAGTACTCCATTGTGTAAATGTACCACTTTTTTTTTTTTTTTTTATCCATTCTTTGGTTGAGGGGCGTTTAGGTTGTTTCCAGGTTCTGGCTTTGACAAACAAAGCTGCTATGAACATAGTTGAGCACATGTCCTTGTGGCATGATTGAACATCCTTTGGATATATACCCAAAAGTGGTATTACTGAGTCTTGAGGAAGGTTGTTTCCTAATTTTCTGAGAAGTCGCCACACTGACTTCCAAAGGGGCTGTACCAGCTTGTACTCCCTTTACCCCACAACCTCTCCAGCATAAGTTGTCATCAGTGTTTTTGATTGTTCTTTAAATCTTTAATATGAGAATTGGGGTAAGTGAGAGTTTTGTCATTTCAGAGCTTAAGTCTAAAGAAGATGGCCCCTCTCTGTGACATCAATGCCATTCAGATGGAAGAGGAAGAGTCTGAACAAGGGTATCTGATTGGTGATTTCTCCAAGGTGAGTTTGTTTCTATCTGCCTTTACTATGCGTGCGTGCGTGTGTGTGTGTGTGTGTGTGTGTGTGTGTGTTCACGCGCACGCGTGCATGCACACAAGCTCACAGAGATCTACCTGCCTCTGCCTCCTGAGTGCTTGGATCAAAAGTGTGTGCCATCACCACCAGGCTGAATCGTCTGGATTTTAATCTCTGTTTGCTGAGGCTGCTAGATGTAACACTAAATGTGCTTTGTTGACCTGAAGGTATATATACCTCAACCCTAAGTCATCTATTAAGAAGGTATTTCTTGTTTATCTAAGAAAAATCTACAACACTGGTATGTATATGAAACTTTGTATCCTTTATTCTTGTTAGAAATATCCTTTTGAGAGCTGGCAAGATGGCTCAGCAGGCAAAAAGCACCCTGGAGCTTGTGGTGGAAGAACCAATTCTGGAAAGTTGTTCTCTGACCTTGACACATGCATGGTGGTGTATGAGTACCCACAGTCACCCTCCCACACATTTTAAAGGCATTTATTGATTATATATACAGTGTTCTGCCTGCATATGTGCCAACATGTCAGAAGTGGGCACCAGATCTCATTGTAGATGGTTGTGAGTCACCATGTAGTTGCTGGGAATTGAACTCAGGACCTCTGGAAGAGGAGCCAATGCTTTTACCTTTTGAGCCATCTCTGCAGCTCTCACACACAATTTTTAGGATGTTTAAAAATCTTTTAAGCTGGGTGTAACGGCTCATATCTATAGTCTCAGCACTCAGTAGACAGAAGCAGAAGAATTGCTGCAAGTTTCAGATCAGCTTAAACTCTATAGTGAGTTCTAGCAAACCAGACTATCCAGTGAGACCTTGTCTCCAAAAGCAGTTTGTGTGTGTGTGTGTGTGTGTGCAAATAAAGTAAAATGATATTAATACTTGGTTAATATAAAAAAGTAGAAAAATTCATTCCAAACCTTTTTAACCAGGAAGATTATTTTTTGTGTGTATTTCTACAGACTTTTTCCATACAAACACACACAGACAAGTATTTTTATCCCCCAACCCTCAATAACAACAAAAATAACTGTTATGGTCTTTTGGGTCTGTTGGGGTTTTGTGTTCCTCTCTGTTTTTTTTTTTTTTTTTTGTTTTGTTTTTCGAGACAGGGTTTCTCTGTGGCTTTGGAGCCTGTCCTGGCACTAGCTCTGTAGACCAGGCTGGTCTCGAACTCACAGAGATCCGCCTGCCTCTGCCTCCCAAGTGCTGGGATTAAAGGCGTCCATCGCCATCGCCCGGCCCTTTATTTATTTTTGAGACAGAATTTCTTTTTAAAAAAAAAAATATGTGCTGGAGAAATGGCTCAGTGGTTAAGAGCACTGCCTGCTCTTCCAAAGGTCCTAAATTCAATTCCAGCAACCACATGGTGACTCTCAATCATCTGTAATGAGATCTGGTGCCCTCTTCTGGCCTTCAGGGAGACATGCAGACAGAATACTGTACACATAATAAATAAATCAATCGAAAAAAGATTTAAAAATAAATAAATAAAAATTTTAAGAAATTGTTTGTTTGTTTATTTATTTATACAGTATCCTGCCTGCATGCCAGAAGAGACCAACAGATCTCATTATATGGTTGTGAACCACCATGTGGTTGCTGGGAATTGAACTCAAGGCTTCTGGAAGAGCAGCCAGTGCTCTGAACTGCTGAGCCATCTCTCCAGCCCCAACAAAATGTTTTTGTTTTATGTATATGGGTTGTGTGCCTGTCTATACATCACATGTGTGCAGTGTCGTCAGGCCGAAAGAGGGCATCAGAGCTATTGATACTACAGCTAGAGACGACTGTGAGCCACCACGTGGGTGCTGGGAGCTTGAACCCGGGTCCTCAGGCAAGCAGCCAGCCATCCCCCAGACCTGTATTTCATCATTTTCAATATCTGTTCATTAGTTAATTCTTTGGCTATTCATGATTTCTCTATAAATCCTTTCTGTGGGAGATTTGGGTTTATAATTTTCCTTATGAGTAAAATGGGCATATTTGTGGAAACGTAGAGTTCTGTGTACGTCCTTGAAAAGTTCCTAGGGATCGGTTATTGGAAACAGAATTGCTGTTTGGTTTTGTTTTCTAAAATCACTTGAAAGCCAGATGTGGTATTGCACACCTTTAATCCTAGCACTCTGGAGGCAGAGGCAGGGGGATCTTTGAGTTAAGGCCAGCCTGGTCTATAAAGTGAGTTCCAGGATAGAACACACAGAGAAACCCTGTCTCACTTGGAAAGGACACTGTGGGAGTCTTGGATCTGACTTGGGCTGGGAATTCCTGCTGTAATTTCAGTTCGTGGGTCTTTCTAGGTGTGTGTGCTGCCAACGGTGTCAGGAAAACACCAAGATCTGAAGTACGTCACCCCGGACACAGTAAGCAAATTTCTGCAGGTGATAACCGGGCAATCATATCGTCAGCCGTCTGGCCTGTGCGCCCCTAAAGCCCACCTCGTCTGTGTTGCCGTCACTCTGTCCACTCTCATGGGCTTCTTATTCCACTGAGGCTGTGTTAGAAGGACTTCTTTGTATCCATTTTCTATCTTTTTATCAATCTGTCCATCTATTTCAGAGATAAGGTTTCCCTCTGTAGACCAGGCTGTCCTGGAACTCACAGAGCCTGTCTCTGCCTCTGGAGTGTTGGGATTAAAGGTGTGTGCACCATGCCCAGCTCCATTTTCTGTCTTTTAAATTTTTTGAATTAAACAAACGCTATATTATTATAAATAAGGGAGAGTAGAAAAGGAAGACATAAAAAGAAAAAAAATACTCAGTTGGGACTCACAGTAGCCTTGAACCCTTATTTATATGTTGGCAATCTCTCTCACAAACAATAGCAACAACAACAACAACACACTACACACAAACACACACACACACACACACACACACACACACACACAATGACTCTGAAAAAGTCTCCTTTATCCCAGACTGTTTGTAAATTCACTGTGTAGTTGAGGATGAGTAATGACCTTGCATTTCTGAGCCTTCTGTATCTACTTCCTGAGTGCTGAGAGTCTAAGCGGGTGCCGTCATACCTGGTGTAATCCCTGCTCGCAGAGTTGCAGGGTAGGGGAGCAGGCTTTGTGTGTGCACTGTTCAGCCTCAGTTTCTCCAGCTCCCCACTCTCACTTTTTTTTTTTTTTTTTTTTTTTTTTTGAGACAGGGTTTTTCTGTAGCTTTGGAGCCTGTCCTGGAACTAGCTCTTATAGCCCAGGCTGGCCTCAAACTCAGACATCCTCCTGTCTCTGCCTCCCGAGTGTTGGGATTAAAGGCGTGTACCACCACCGCCTGGCTCCGACTCTCACTCTTTTTGAGACAGGATCTCTCTATGTAGTCCGAGCTGGCCTGGAAGTTGCTGTGTAGATCACACTGGCCTTGATCTGCTTGCCTCTTTCTTCTGAGTACTGGGATTAATTTTAGTTTATAAAAAAATGATGAACTTATACTTTTGCTTGGTGAGATTATTGTAAGTATTTGAGGCCAGCAATGGCAAGACCTTGTCTCAAAAAAAAAAAAAAAAAAAAAGGCCAGTCATGGCACACATCTTTTTTTTTATATTTATTTATTTTATTTATTATGTATACAATATTCTGTCTGTGTGTATGCCTGCAGGCCAGAAGAGGGCACCAGACCTCATTACAGATGGTTGTGAGCCACCATGTGGTTGCTGGGAATTGAACTCAGGACCTTTGGCAGAGCAGGCAATGCTCTCAACCTCTGAGCCATCTCTCCAGCCCCCATGGCACACACCAGGGACAGAGGCACGTACATCTCTGAGTTTGAGGCCAGCCTGGTTTATAGAGAGATCCAGGACAGCCAGTGGTATACGTAGAAACCCTGCCTTGAAAAACAAAACAAAGAAAAAGATGCTCTCTATTATTTTCATAACTATATAATCCATTATACCAGAATGTATAGTTTATTTAACTAAACCTTTCTTATTGAATATTAAGTTGTTTCTAATATTTCAGTGTCCTAAAACAATGCTAAGATGAATATCAATTTGTGAACTTTCACTTAAAGTGTTAGAAGAAACTGGGGGTAGTGGGTACATGCTTTTAATCCCAGCAGTTAGGAGGCAGGGCCAGGAGGGTCAAGAGTTCAGAGTCATCCTCAGGTATAGTGAGTTTGAGGACAGCCTGGGCAACATAAGACTTTATCTCTTCCAAACAAAGACTTTAAAATAGGAGGTATAATTTCATGTATTTTTATATGTATTTATAAAGTTTCTTTCTAGTAAGGCTGAACTAATGTATTCTTCTAGAAGCAGTTTTAAGTTTTCTCCTTTAAATACAAATCCTCACCTGTATGTTTTCTGAAAGACTTGGTGAATGGGGAACTATTTCCCGTGTCTTCTTATAAAATTGGGTTCTCTAGCTACTGCCTCTGCTACTGCTGTCCTCCTCGGATGTCTCCTGAGAGGCTGCTGGTGACCATGCTTGTCTCTAGATGGATAGGCAACCTCAACATCAGCCAATGGGGCCTCTGCACAGGCATCTCCGCTTCATGCTCATATGTGGGACTGGGCTTAACCATTGCCATGTTGCAGATGCAGACTACCTCTGGAGGTTGTGCATGCAGCGCGGCCCTGGGTGACAAATGGGAGTATACAAAAAAGCGCTGTGGCTCCTCTCTCTGAGTGACAGCGGACAGGATGTTCAGTCTCCCTTTCCCTGCAGGTAGCTGACTTACTGTCTGGAAAGTTCCAGGATCTGGTTGAGAAGTTTTATATCATCGATTGCCGCTATCCGTATGAGTACCTGGGAGGACACATCCTGGTGAGGTGACACTGGGGACATTAGCAAGGGAGAGGCTGGGGATTTGGGTTTATTGAGAAGAGTGTATGGGCAGAGGGTCCTGTGAAATCTAGCACCACCAGGACGGAGATTATCCGCTTGGATCACATCGGAGGGAATCTTCATGTCTGTTAAGTCTGTGCCTTGAGCAATCCCTTTTCCTCCTGGATAATCTCCCTCTTTCCTGTGGGAGCCCCGAAGTAAAAACAGTCGGAGAGCCAGGAACACTTTGCAAACATCTAATGTTCCCACACAGTTCTCAGAGTTTAACCTGTACTCCGGTGGTTCAGTTCTGTGAACAGGCGTGGAGCAGCTACAAACCAAACTCTTTGCCAAGCCCTAGGGTAGATACAGAGATAGGCTTAGCCTCTTGCCCTGGAATGCCTTCTTGCCTAGTCTTTCTGGCCTAAATATCCCAGCATAGTATCCCAGGCATTCCTGAGTATTGACTGGACACAAGCCCTCGAGGGAATGCTTGCTAACATCCTTTTCTACAGGGAGCCTTAAACCTGTGCAGTCAGAAGGAACTGCATGAGTTCTTCCTGAAGAAGCCTATTGTCCCTCTGGATGGCCAAAAAAGAATCATCATTGTGTTCCTCTGTGAATTCTCCTCAGAGCGAGGCCCCCGAATGTGAGTATCTAAGGTTGGCGATGGAAATGGATCTTGAATGAGACTTGTCAGACCAGTTTAGACAGACTAACCCGAATGAGCGCCTTCCACTACAGTTAGATGGTATAGAACTTTGAGATATGGGTCTTGGCTAGTACACACAGGCCATGGGGATGGGCCTTGGGGGTTGTAGTCCAGCCCTACTTCCTGTCCCATACCTGCATCCCAATCCACCAAGATGTGAACAAGCTGGGCAGTGAGGCTGCAAGGCTCCATGCCTTAGGGTGATTGAAGGAAAGTGTTCCCAGATTCAGAAGTTTGAGCACTAAAGGGAAGAAGTGGGCACAGAGATGTGATTCAGCTGGCAGAGTGCTTGTCTAGAATGCATGTCTTTGGGTTTGATCCCCAACATTGCATAAAACTGGTCAGGATTGTACACACCTAGAATCCCAGCCCAGAAAAGCGGGCGTCACACAACCAGGAAGAATAGATGTTTAAGGTCATCCTGGGTTCGAGATCAGTCTGGGCTAGAGAGCCGGTCTCAAAAAAAGAGCCAGACATGGTGGCGCATGCCTATAATCCCAGTACTTTGGAGGCAGAGTCTGGCAGACCTCTTTGAGTTTGAGGCCAGCTTGTGTTACATGGTGAGACCCTGTCTCAAAAACAAAACAAAACACAAACAAACAAAAATCCATGTAAAGACACACACACACACACACACACAAAGAGGTTTGGGGATGAAGCTTCAATGGAGGAAATGGAAGAGAATGTTATTTGGACCTTGGTTAGCAAACGATGAAAGGTTGTGTGTATTTGGGATGGTGGCTGGGGATTTACCCTGTCTGTCTAGACAGTACTTTACCCCTGAACTACATTCCTAGCCACAAAGGTTCTTTAGGGAAGTTAGTCATGGTCTGCCCCCGACCCCCACTGAAGGCTCGCGGGCTCCTGACTTTTTGCTTCCTTCACTCAATTCATCTCTGAATTTTCTCTAAAGGTGCCGTTCTCTGAGAGAAAAAGACAGAGCTCTGAACCAGTACCCGGCATTATACTACCCAGAGCTGTATATCCTCAAAGGGGGCTACAGAGACTTCTTTCCAGAATATATGGTAAAGGGACATGGAAGAGCCCAGACGTGGTGGGATGTGGAGATGAGGTGAGGTGGGTGGTGGTGGTGTGGCTCATACTCGGAAGAGCCAGCATTAGCCTGCAACCTCCAAAACTATAAACATCCTGAGAGGAAAATACAGCTCAGCCACTGGGAGCAGCACCTCTTGTCCTTCGTGGGCAGAGCTCAGGAGCCTAAGGAGTCCTTGTCCTTGTCCCCTACCTTTCAGGAGCTGTGTGAACCACAGAGCTACTGTCCTATGCACCACCAGGACCACCAGGCTGAGCTGCTCAGATGGCGAAGCCAGAGCAAAGCGCAGGAAGGGGAGCGGCAGCTTTGGGAGCAGATTGCCGTCCTGGTGAAGGATGTGAGGCCATGATAGTGGGTATGACAGTGGCCGTGAAGTCGCCGGAAGACAATGGAGATGCCAAACAGAAAGAGTCATCTATGCCGCTAACCCTATGATTGTTAAGCTGCAAACATTGGGGATAGTCAGGCACGGTGCAACACCTTTAGTCCCAGCACTCAGGAGGTAGAGGCAGGAGGATCTCTGTGAGTTTGAGGCCAACCAGGGCTACACATGACCCTATCTCAAAAACAAATAAAAAGCAAACAAAGCAAAACCCATCAGACAAAAGCCTCCAGGTGTCTACAAGCCAACGGGCTGTCATTCTGACGGACTGCTAGGCCTAAGAACCCACTCGGTGTCAGTGAGCTGCTGCCCGGGGGCTGAATGGTGAACAGAGGTGTTCACCCTGCTTCAGGGAGTTCATAGTTTCCCATGTCTTAGCAGAAGCCAGACAGCTGGTTCTCTGACCAGGCCTGGCTGTCTGACATCCTGCCTCTTCTCTTTCTTTGTATTTTCTCCCACTGCCCCCCATCCTCTCTACTGAATGGGAAGGTAAACATAGGAGATGTGTGATTGTGAACCCAGGCTCTTCCTAGAAGATCTACATAAAGCAGCGAGGAGTCATGAGTGAGGCTCCTTTAAGGGATTGTCATGCTTGGTGAGGGGCTTGCCAGCAGCCGCAAGAACCCTGAGCTTGGGCTCTAGCACTATAAACAATTTAAAAATGCAGTCTTGGACTGGGGAGATGGCTCATAGGTAAACATTTGCTGCGTACGCATGAGGACCTGAGTTCCAAACCCAAGAAGCCCCGTAAAACTGAGCGCTGTAACTGCATCTGGAGCCCTGCTGCCCTTCCATGAGACGGAGGTGGGAACAGAGGCCCGGGACCCTCTCGGGCCAACTGAACTGGCCTACGTGAGTGAGTGGACAACAGAAAGGAGACCCTGACTTAAATAAGGCGGAAGATGGAGACCAACACCAGAGGATGCCCTGACTCATACGCACACAGCTTTGAGACCTAAAGGTGTAACCTGATAATGCCAAATTCTTCTCTTTAGTGCTTAAATTTTAGAGCATGGGCCCTCAGCATCATATGAATTTGTACTAAAAAAAAAAAATTCATGGTGTTTGCCTCAGCAGCACATATACTAAAAATGGAACAAAAGAGCAAGGAGAATGCACAGATTAGTGAACCATTCAATATACACCTGTATACACACATGTATGCATACATATACAGATAAAATACTTATTCCTCATTTCAGGTTTTTTTTTTTTAAAGATTTATATATTATTATTTTGTTTTCTTTGAGACAGGGTTTCCTAGTAGCTATGGAGCCTGTCCTGGAACTCACTCTGTAGACCAGGCTGACCTCAAACTCACAAAGATCCGTCCTCCTTTGCCTCCCAAGTGCTGGGATTAAATGTATACGCCGCCACCACCACCACTAGCAACAATCCCAGCACTCAGGAGGCAGAGGCAGGCAGATCTTTATGAGTTCAGGGTCAGCCTGGTCTACAGAGTGAGTTCAGGACAGCCAGGGCAACACAGAGAAGACATGTTTCAGGAAAAAAACAACAACAAAACAACTTTCAAGTGTGGAGCTAGTGCCTGTAATCTGAGTACTTGGTGAGGTGGACCTAGGAGGACCTGAAGTTCAAGGCCAACCTCGGCTACTTGATCGTACTTCACCAAATCAGCAGGCAAACATTCCTCCTCAGGTCCTCTGATGCGCCTTGAGGCACAGGAGCCCTTGCTCTGGAACTAAGGAAGGTTTTCGCTGAATTCTCAAGCTGGACTTGGTGGTAAATGTTTGCATCCCTAAGAGGCCAAGGCAGGAAGTTGGTGAACGTTAGGTGTCAAACCTGGGATTCACTAACAATGAGCTCGTGTACAAGATACAGGTCTGTGGTGAACTTTTTCATTGTCTTTTCTTTGAAAATTTCTAAAGATTAATTTATGTGTATGAGTGGTGTGTGTATGTGTGACTTGTGTGCCTGACACAAGATGCCAAGGCCGTCATGGGACACTAGAACACCTGGGGCTGGAGTTGGGGATGATAGTGAAGCTGGGAACAAGTGCTCATAACTGCTGAGCCATCTCACCACCCCGTTTCTCATTTTTATTTTTGAAATGACTTCACTCTGTAGCTCTGCCCTGTCTGGAGTGACTAGTTTGGTGAGCACTTGTCTAGTATACGTGAATTCCCGGGTTCAGTCTCCAGCACCACACGAATGGGCGTGCTGGGTACATGGCTGTAATCCCAGCTACTGGAGATAAGGGGAGGGAAATCAGAAAGTCCGTGTCACTCTTGGGTGCTTATCAGCACAGGCCACATAAGACCATGGCTTTAAAATGGCAAGAGGGTGGAGAGGTGGCTTGGCAGTTAAGAGTAGTCGCTGTTCCTCCAGAGGACCCATGTTCAGTTCCCAGCATTGTCATCAGTAGCCACCTGTACTCCAGCTCCAGGGGAGTCAATGCCTTCCTGTGGCCCCCATGGGTACCCACATATGGTAAACACTTAGCAATTTTTCCTTTGTCTTTTTTTAAAGTACTGAAAAGACGTCTCAGTGGTTAAGAACACTTGTTGGTTTTGTGGAAGACATTCACATGGTGGCTCACAAACTGTCTCTAATCCCAGTTCCAGGGTATCTGACTCCCTCTTCTCGGGGGCATCTGACTCACATGTGATGCACATACATACATGAAGGCAAAACACTCATAAATCTAAAAATATTCATACACACATACATGCCATGATAATCATGCAGAGATCAGAGGACAAATTGCAGGAGCTGATTTCCCCCTTCCACCTGACTTGGAACTGGATTTGGGACATCAGGCTTGGAGGCGATGCCTGTACACACTGAGTCGTCTCACCAGCTGTGCTGGCTAGTTTTCAATGCTTTTCACAGAAGCTAGGGTCAAGTGGAAAGAGGGACTCTTAATAAGAAAGTGCTCCACAGGGTTGGCCATAGGCAAGTCCGCAGGGCCTTTCTTGATTGGTGGTTGATGTGGGAGGTCCAGCTCACTCTGGGAGGTACTGCTCCTGTGCTGGTGGTCCTGGGTTAAAGGAGAAGAAAGCCGGCTGAGCAAGTCAGTAAGCAGTGTTCCTCCATGGCCTCTGTGTCAGCACCTGCCTCCGAATTTCCAGGACAGCCAGTGCTATACAGAGAAACCCTGTCTTCAACAACAACCAAAAAGAAAAGAAAAGTCATTCTTTAGTTGCTTTCTTGACAGAGTTGCCTAAAAGTGTCCTTGGTGGGTAGAAGCTAGGGAGATGGCTCAGTGGTTGAGAGCATTGCTTGTTCTTCCAGAGGTCCTGAGTTTGATTCCCAGAAACCACAACCATCTGTATTGAGATCTGGTGCCCTCTTCTGGCTTGCACGTGCACACGCAGGCAGCACACTATATACATAATAAATAAATTAATGTTTAAAATAAATAAATGTCCCAGGCAGAGGTGGCAGCTCTGAGTTGGTTTTATAATTCCCTTGTCTGTAGCTGGGATTTTGTTTTTCTATTTTTCAAGCTCCATTCCATCTTAAATCTCAAGGATAAAGTGTAGAATCTAGGTTAGTTGAAAATAGAGACTTGTGATACATGAAGATGCAGATAGAAGTACAGGAGCTTGGGCATGGTGATGCGCCCTTAATGCCAGCACTGGGAGCAGAGGGAGGTGTGCCTGAGTTCGAGGCCAGCCTGGTCCACAGGGTGAGTCCTAGAACAGCCAGGGCTACACAGAGAAACCCTGTCTTTAAAAACATAACAACAACAATAATAAGTAAGAAGAAAGGAAAAGTAGAAGTGCAGGGGAAGATCAGCTGGACTTTAGGAAGACCTTTCAAACCTTCCGCAGTGCTCCAGACATTCCCAGAGCTCTTTAGGTGGGCAGCTTTCGTCATGTGGTGAGACACATAGCCCTGGTACTAGTGACTGAGAACCCAAGATTAGGAAAGGAGGAAGCACTATAAAACATAGTTTAGAGACCAAAAAAAAAAAAAAATCTTCCCAGTGTCTGGTACAGGATAACATTCTTGGTGTAAACCAGTAATAAAGAGGGCTGTGGCCAGACTGTTTCTTGTTGAATGCAGGCTTCCCAGCAGAGGGCACTGCTGCATTCTCAAAGACAGCCCGAGTCTCGAATCCAGCTGTCTGTGGGAATGAATGCTACCTGCTACCTCCATTGCCACTAAGCCCTTGATCTCAGCCTCTGAGAGAGAGGGCGGAGGGGAAGGTACTGCTCCCAGTTCCACGCTTACAAGTGCCAGGGCCAAGCCAGGACCCAGTAGCCTGAGGAAGAAAGTATTCAAAACACCCAACTGGGGAGTGGGGAGGCACTCTGGACTCCTTACTGTCCCAGAGATGCAGATCCAAGCCCCAATAAGATGTCTGTGTGTTCACATTTCTGTAATCTTTTTTATTTATTTATTTTTGGTTTTTGAGATAGGGTTTCTCTTGTATAGCTTTAGTTGTCCTGGAACTAACTCTGTAGACCAGCCTGGCCTTGAACTCGTAGAGATCCACCTGCCTCTGCCTCCCCAAATTCTGGGATTAAAGGTGTGGACCCCCACCTCCCTGATATCCCAAGATTTCTCATCTCCCTCTATATTGGGACTGGATTGTCAAATTCATATTACTTTCAAAAATATTAATAGCACTTTGCAACTGCTTGCTGCGTGCAAGACTGTTTAATCTCGCCGGGCGGTGGTGGTTTACGCCTTTAATCCCAGCATTCAGGAGGCAGAGGCAGGCGGATCTCTGTGAGTTTGAGGCCAGCCTGGTTTACAGAGTGAGTTCCAGGACAGCCAGGACTACTACACAGAGAAACCCTGTCTTGAAAAAAAAAAAAAAAAGACTGTTTAATCTCATTTCATACATACAAACTAATTTTTACAGCAATCCTATGGAGAGAAATTGAGGAACAGAGAGGATAGCCAAACCACATAGCTGCCCCACACGGCTCACACCTGTAATTCCAGCGCTCCAGACAGGCAGGAGGATTGCCTAGAGTTTGAGGCCAGTCTGGATTACATAGTTCTAAACTAGTCTGAACTAGTGTGAGATTTGTCTCAAACAAAAACAGAAAAGCAGGTATGATAGCACACGTATAACCCCAGTATTGGGTCTAAGACCAGCCTGGGCTACATGGAATCCTGTCTCTAAGGGAAAGGGTCTGGGAGTGTAGTTCAGCACCCACAAAGCCCTGGGTGTGACCACAGCTATAATTCCAGCGCTGTGGAGCTAGAGGCAGAGGATTGGAATCTCGAGATTATCCTTGCCTACTTAGTGAATTCATGGGCAGCCTGAGATACTCAAGAGTACATGTAACAACACGTGCACACACACACACACACACACACACACACACACACACGCAAGTGAACAAAAACAGTAAACTAGTAAATAGTTACTCCTC